ACGAATTAAGGCCGCAAATAAATTTTTGGGTAGTCAGAATGATTCCACGTTTAAACTTGTCGGATTCTCTCCGGAATACACAAGGTCTAAGCGTCTAATATCATACGACAAGACCTCCAAACTTAATGCCATTCATTAAAACGAATGAGGGTACGACATTTTGCAAAGTTTAGATAAATTATGAACAAGGCGAAGAGTGCACAACGTTTGTTCATTAATTTGCGTTGGTTTAAGATCAGAAAGGTCAGTATGTTTCGTTTTAAAAATATCACGAATAATCATAATATAAAGGAGTTCGATTTGTTATTAACTGGATTACTTTATAGAATCTGTACTAATTGAAAAATATTTTTAAGCAAATTCGCAGTCTTTAGAAGTTTCAAACCTATTATTGTTCATGTCTATAGCACACATCAGATGTATCGGTTAAAAACTTATTATCGAATATGATAAACCATACCAAAAAAAAAAATTAATGAACATTTTCGAATTTTCAGTTCAAAATCAGAATCTATCAAGTTGAAACTTGGCAAGCGTCGTGTCAGATGACCTAAAAGATTATCCAGAGGTGACTGGTCGTGATAGGCGACGAGTCGTGTTTAGTCAGTGAGGACGAAACCAAAACTATGTACTGACGCGTACGAAATGTACATACTTTAGTATTAATTTTTTTAAGCGATTTTATGACCTGGTAACTAAGACCTTTAGGTTAAGTCTTATTTTAATATATATTTTTTTAATATATGAAAAATGATAATATGAAGTGAAATAAAATGAAGTTGATTAATATGAAACATGGCATGAAATGAAATGAGATTAGATGAAGTATAATCTCAGTAAAATGATGGTCATTTACGGAGACTTTTTTAAGTGGACTTTTTGGAGGATCCCGAGAAGTTACGTCAAACGGCTTTGTTTCATTTTCCCACAATTGTGCACTTTCACAGATACTAAACAGTTAATAAACCACCGTCATTACACATTTAAACCTGAAGAAACACTAAACAGACAAAATAAAACAAATCGCGCAATTTCACTCCTCGCGTTCCGGCCAAAAAGTCCTTAGTATTTAATAGTGTTCGTAAAATCAGTTAGTCATTCATAACGTGTCGTATACCAAACATAATAATAAAACAGCTAGTTCATATAGCACCAATGCGGTATATCATTTACATTTTCTATCATATAGAGCTGAATACTTGACCTATTTCTTCGATAGAAACCTTTTTATGACGATAATAGTACAGATAGGAAATTAATAGTTTCTATAAAGTTACCATGATTTCAAGAAGTTTTAATTTTGGAAACACTCAAGTTAATTTGTTTCTTTATACCTACTATTAAAAATTGTTTTCTTTATTCCGCTGAGTTTATTCAATAAAAATCACAGTTGTATGTACCTAGATGTTTCTTTAGAAAATGACGTTAGACCTGCTTCTTTACCATACGATCAATAATATAAGATTATTGGAACGAAATTCCTTATGGGACGATGCGGAGAAGTACCCTAACCGGGAAAAACGTCCGTAACGTAAGATTTTTATTAGTATTGCGCACAGTGTACGACTTAACTTTGTAATAACGTACAAAAAATAACATATTTTTTATCATTCGTTGACCGCGATCTCAGAGCGTTCGTTTACGCAATACACTAACTCTCCACAATAAGTTCGCACGTTACCGACTGACCGTGGGTTGTTGCGAAACCTCCAGTTTTATTTTCTTTATACCTCGAATAGAACTTAAAATTAATACTTTTATAATAAGCAACTTCCATTCCTATCCGGTGACCCACGACACCACACATCTTTTTTATATTGTTATTCCATTATTTTTGGATTAATCTTGAAAATACTATAATAATCGTTACAAATTGGTGGTACAATATGGTGAACCAAAATCTTAACGTTTAAACAGGTATTTTTAAGCCGTATCGCAGTTGTGTCTTAGTACTCTATTCCGGGAGCTCCAAGTTTAATTTTAAATACATATTTTCCAAATCTCTCTCTGTCAACGGTACAGTTTCTCTTGATTTGAATCTACATTAAATCGATTCTTGATTCTATATTCAAAGAAAATCGAAAATCGAAACTACCATTGACCACTAAATCGAATTACCATTGAAAATTCATTGTCAATTGTGAATAAAACAAACCCTTTCCGCCCGAGGATATTTGTCTATCAACGCCGTGACGCGCTAAGGGACCGCATGTAAATGAAGAGTAACGATCGCATAACGTCAAATATTTATAAGAGCGGCCACGGCGAACGCGTAAATATGTACATAATAAGTACGGTAAATAAGATTCGATACGGCACGAACTTCTAGAGCTTGAATAGACTTTATTTACGATATCGCCGCACCTTTAGAATTATAAAGACCCAACAACAAAAAATGTGTTTTTTTAGGAAAATATCGAAAGTTCTCGAACCGAAAAGACGTAGAGGAAGGGGACGGAGCGAAAGAGACCGATGGATAGCTTTGTCCCTTTATAAACTGCTTTTGGTCGTTTGATTACGAATAGTCGTTGAAAAGGGTCCTTTTAGTTCCATTTTTGTATTAGACGAAATCCAAAAATGGTCTTCATAATTCTAAAGTTGCGATATATTCGTTCATAAAATCAATACATACACACACACATACCGTGATAACTCTTTTGTAAATTCAGTTAAAAATTAAGTTATTGCGCCTTTTCAATGCTTTAAAGAGTTTAGTGAGATCCAAATATTTCATTCGAAATATTACGCTTGAATTTGGGATCAATCGCAATCATTTGTAAAAATGAAACGAATTACTATATTTTTTTGTGCATCGATGAAAAACGGTCCAAACCATCTAGCGGTGTTATGACGAAAGAAGATTTTTAAGATTCGTAAAAGTTTTGCATTTTGCAACAAGCATTAGATTGTCACCCTCAGAGAGAAATTCGATAACTTCAACACGGGGTCTAGACGACGAGCCTTGGTCTGTTTGTTACATATCTGTAATTATAATAGTCTGATAGATGGCGCTGAATTCAAATTTCAAATTATATTTGCAATGTCGTATCTGAGTCGGTTGTAACTTTTGTGAATCGCTGATGTTTGCAACTCGGCATTTTTCAAAGCCACCCAAAAGTTTAAACACGATACATAGAAGAAAAAAAAACAGCTTTAGATATTTTTAATGTAACTAGTGGTCCCCAGGTAGGTAGTCGAAATTCGACTATAATTAATTGAAACTATAAGTTTGTACACTATTGAGATTCTATTGTCAAAAACTATTATACTTCTATAATCACATTGGAAGTCATCGTGGCCTAACGGATAGCACGTCCGGTGCATTCGTGTTGAGCGATGCACCGATGTTCGAATCTCAAGTAGGTACCAATTTTTCTAATGAAATACGTACTCAACAAATGTTCACGATTGACTTCCACGGTGAAGGAATAACATCGTGTAATAAAAATGAAACCCGCAAAATTATAATTTGCGTCATTACTGGTGGTAGGACCTCTTGTGAGTCCGCGCGGGTAAGTACCACGGCCTTGCCTATTTCTGCCGTGAAGCAGTAATGCGTTTCGGTTTGAAGGGTGGGGCAGCCGTTGTAACTATACTTGAGACCTTAGAACTTGTATCTCAAGGTGGGTGGCGCATTTACGTTGTAGATGTCTATGGGCTCCAGTAACCACTTAACACCAGGTGGGCTGTGAGCTCGTCCACCCATCTAAGCAACAAATAAAAAAATTAAAAAACGTCACACTCGACAAAGGGATGACATTCCGTCCCCACATCAAAACGGTACTCGACCGTGCCGCCTTCATATTGGTACGCCTCTATCCCATGACTTGCAAGCGAAGTAAATTGTCCCTACCTAATAAGGTGACACTCTACAACTTACATACGCCCCGTCATGACCCATGTAAGCGTAGTGTTCGCTCACGCGGCCCCCTCCAACCTCTTGCGAGGGTTCGTTTGAGCCCCGTGAGCTCACCTACTAATTAAGGTTACGCTGAAATAGCCTCTCGAGGCTGTCAGCTTAGGTAGGAATAAAAAAAACCCCCACCCTCTTGAAGCCCCTTCAAGTCATTCAATCCCGTTTTTGCAGGATATGCGTCAGAGCACCATGGTTCCTAAGGAACGTGGATCTCCATGATGACCTGGAGCTTAACTCAAGCAGTATTTACAGTCGGCATTTTTGCGCTCTTGTACTCTTGTCGTGCCCGCCGGTAATTACATACTCAGGTATGGTCAAATGGTAAACAGTTGACGAGAAGGGTTATTTTGATAATATCCTGAAATGCACCCCACGCTTTTTTACAATAAAATCATTTTTTCTTACACTATTTTTAATTCAAATTTATTAAAATTTATTTTCTATTTTTAATTTAGATTTTCTATAAAAGCGTATTTTGTTAGTTTTTTTAAACTATTATTTTCATTTTTAGTTGAATTTCAATTTTTTCATTGTGAATTGTCTTCGGTACTTAATAAGTATACCAAATTTCGTGTTAATCCGACGTTTTGAAGGGAGTCAAAATCATGTTCAAAAATTCCGTTATAAGCCGCGCCAATAAAGAAACGAATCGAAAATGGCGTCTATGTACTTGCACTGACAGATGGTAGGGTCAACAAATAAAAAGGAATAATAAAGGAAAGAAAAAGTTGTTTATTGTAAAAAAATATAAAAAAACAAATGAGAATGTACTTTACTTTATGCCTTGGCAGAGGGGGAGGTGTTTCATCTGAGATGCAACTTGCGTAGACACTTTTGCTGCCAGTCATCTAAGTTGCACAACTCGAAAGTGAAAAAGCTCGAACTCAACAACAAACTCAGAACTAATTTTTTTTTGCAGGCAGTACGCGCCATGTGCGACTAAAGACAACAATAGTTCAGAGTGAGAGCGCATGATCGCCGCCGCCATTTTAGATTTGTTTCTTTGTTGGCGCGGCTTATACAAACATACAAACGTCTGAAGCTAATAAAAGCGTATTGAAAAAAAAAAAAGAGTAAAATATACCTTAACGTGCGGCAGAGCGAGCAGGCGGCGCAGGTCGTGCACGGCGGCGGCGGTGGCGGGCGCGGCGGCGGCGGGCGCGGCGGGGGGCGCGGCGGGGGCGGCGGCGTGGCGCAGGCGCGTGGTGGCCTCCAGCGCGTGGCGGGCACGGGCGCGACCCTCCGCCGCGGGGGCTCGCCCGCTCGTCACCACCACAGTGCACGCTATGCGGTCGTACACCTGTACAGCGCATTTTGAAAAAAAATTAAAGCATGAATTCACCATTTTGCATTTTGAAAGATGAAGCAGCCATTATAAAATCCATTTATTGAAATAATAATAATAATAATAAAGATCATTTATTGCCTTTCACATCATAAAATGAAATACAAAAAAAAGAAAAGCAAAAAAAAGAGAAAAAGGCAAAAGGAGGTGGCTCAGCTATTGCTGTTCAAGGTTGATAAATTGAACAGCGCTGATTTTCAGTCACCCCCGTTTCCCTTTGGTTCTTTGCGGGAATGAAGACTCCGTACGTGTGNGCACAGTAGAAGTATAATCATTAACGTATATAAACTCAAAAGATAAGCCACAAATCATTGCGTTGTAATGATTTGAAAAACAATTAAAATATTGATTAATAATGATAATAATAAGTAATAGCAAATACAACCCATAACAATAAACAAATCGGAACATTGACATGTTTATAAATAGTAGAAAAAATGCAAAGCACATAGTATCTTGTAAATGAAACTTCTTTAGAACGTTGTGATTTCAAACTCGATGAAACGAAAAAATAAGTCCATAGAGACACAAACACATAAATTTATAGGATTCAGCCGGCGAGAGAATGAGATAGAACACATTAGACGTTCTCGATCTCCTTTTTGTGCGACTCTTCGTAGCATCCCCATTATCGTCTACTAAACATTGTCTATATGTATGCTCCTGTGTAATGGGATAGTCAGTATATCTATATCTTATTTACAAGTTTCACTTCTACCGTGTGTGACTTGTACATATACACACTTTTTTAAATTAAAGCATGAGTTCACCATTTTAAGTTATAAAATACATTTATTATTTCTATATCACGCCTGAGCGAAAGATAAGTTTCGAAGTCTACAAAATCGTCGTAGTGTATACACGAAATCGTCTTAGCTATTTTGAAATGGAGAGGTGAATTTAAAAAAATTAGAACTCCGACCGTATGTCTTGTATGTTTAGAAGCAACATTTACGATGTGTCCTCAGACTCTACGACATTTCGCTTAATCTCCGACATTTATCTTTGTAATTAAAGCTGCGTTGAATTGGTATCAGCATCGACAGTTCGATTTAAACTTCAATTAAGTTCAAATAGCTAGAGAAGTTTTTATGTATGATATTCTTTCCAAATTTTTAACTTTCAATGGCTCTCCTATAAAGTTGCAAAAATGTCGCTTAAACGCTTACATAGCCTTTCAACCCTCGATATTATTATTACCATAATTATGTTAGGTATAATAGTGAATTACGACCGTTTACCTCTAGTAGGGCTCTCAGTTGCAAATCATCAAGCACGCTGTGGAAGAGGTCCGGGTCTATAAACAATGGACCGTCCTGGAGGACAGCCACATCGTCCAATGACTCCACGACGATATTCACGGCTGCCACAAAATATATAGATATATGAATAGTCAAAAAGGAGCAAGGAGAAAGGTGGAAGAAGGCCCAGAAGCAGATTTCCAAATTACTGGTGATGATAGGACCTCTTGTGAGTCCGCGCGGGTAGGTGCCACCAACCTGCCTTGAAGCAGTAATGCGTTTCGGTTTGAAGGACGGGGCAGCTGTTGTAACTATACTGAGACCTTAGAACTAATATCTCAAGTTGGGTGGCGCATTTACGCTGTAGATGTCTATGGGCTCCAGTAACCACTTAACACCAGGTGGGCTGTGAGCTCGTTCACCTATCTAAGCAATAAAAAAAAATCATAATCAAACCTGCAGCGTTGGCCTCCTCGAGCATCGCCTGTTTGCGAGTCGGCTGCTGTTCCTCCTCCTCCTCGTCGTCGGCCGCGGCGGCGCCGAGAGTGGCAGCCCTCAATCGACGACGACTATTAAACTTCTTCAGCTCCTCGACGGTACCGGCCAGGTGGATGCGGTTCTGTTTTTCGCGATCCTAGAACAAGCTCAATTTGAAACTAACAGAATGAATTTTAAGGGATTTTATGACCTGGTAACCAGGCTTGTGTAGTACATGTACTATATACTAAAAGAAATAAATACCTGACACTGTTGGACGAACGATTCCTTTTCTTTTATTACTTGGGTAAGTGGACGAGCTCACAGCCATCTACAACGTAAATGCGCCGCGCACCTTGAGATATAAGTTCTAAGGTCACAGTATAGTTGCAACGGCTGCCCCGTCCTTCAAACCGAAACGCGTCACTGCTTCACGGCAGAAATAGGCGAGGTGGTGGTACGTACGGACTCACAAGAGGTCCTGCCACCAGTAAATTTTACCACCAGTATTTTTTTTAAATACTTCACTAAAATATTGGACGCTACTCGTAGCTAACGCTCGCACTGGCCTGTAACAGGTATACCTACTACGCGCATTCTCTCTCGCTCTGTCTCTTTCTATTCCACCTCCTCAGGAGCGTTAAACGTTTAACGCAACCTTGTTCAAGTCGCATTAGAAGTTTCACTTCAAAAAATAACCTATGACATACAAACGAAAATGACGGAATTACGAAAGATCTGTTTCTTAGCATCCTCAAAGCTGAGCGTCGCGATATCTGTGGAGTATTTCCTGATGGACTACTTCAAGCTGTATACTCGTATGTGAGAATGACGTCACAAACGATAGTGAAAAACTCACCCTCCACTTTTCCGTCAGCAATATTTTTTCTCATCCTACCGCATTTATCGTGCGACATGTGTTCAGAGATTTTAAAGACTATTCAAAGATATGTGGTATAGTCCTAATTTGATTTCTAAATAGTTCAGTTTCAATTCAATACGGAACCCAAAAAATAAATGTATCAGAAACATTATACTTCCTTTTCATTAATAGTCATTCATTCATTCACATCTGGAACTTTCCTAATAATTACGATTTAAACAAAAATACAAAATTACTTTTATCCATCGATGATTGAGCACGTCTTGAATGTTGATTCTCTGAGTGTGATCGACGGTGAGCATGCGTTGCACTAGATCTTTGGCAGCATCGCTTATATCATCCCAGAGAGGAGCGTCGAACTGTAAAACGAATATAAATTAATATTGTTTTTTTAATTTAAAAACACGTATATAAAATATATAAAATTCTCATGTCACAATGTTAGTTACCATACTCCTCTGAAACGATTTGACCGATTTTTATGAAATTTTATATGTTCAGTAGGTCTGAGAATCGGCTACTATCTATTTTTCATACCCCTAAGTGATAAGGGTTGTCCACCAACACTTCTTACTACTCCGCCCGCGCTATTTTCGTAAAGTTTTTGCTTCACGTATTAATGAATAGATTAAATATTATGTCGCAATCTTACCCTTAATCTCCCTCTGCAAATAGCCTCGAACAGGCGTTCCCTTGTTCCGGCGAAGGGAAGATATCCAACAAGCAGTACGTGCAACAATATACCCGCCGCCCACACATCGACGGGCTTCCCGTACAACTGGCTGGATACAACTTCCGGGGCCATATAGTGAGGAGTGCCGATACGACCTAAAAAAAATAATTAAATCGATTATTTTCTACAAGAATCGATTTTATTCGACATTTCTCTTAATCGATAATACATTAATATTTTATTTGTATTGCTTTTAGTGATATTAATTTAAAAAAAATTCAGAAACGCACATCTTTAAAATATTACGGTTAGTAAACATTTTATTAATTTTCACTGTTTATAAACAAAGCAATGGTGCATTTAGATATTAAATTAATTAAAACGAAAAACATTTATTTACGTCTTAATTACCCACACGTGTAATGTAATGAATTGTACATACTGTGTTATAAATTATGGCAATGCAATGTGTTATTTAATCAGTAACCGAACGCACAAAAGAAGTTAAGTCTATTCGAATTTTGAAAAAAATAATAATGGACTAATTATCTCAATACTTTTTGTCGAATCTTGAGTCAGCTCATTATTTTTTTTTAATCGATATTTTTCTAGAATCGCGTAAGCTCCGAAATCAGTGACATTTAGACAACCTTTGTGCATTCGATCACAAACATCCAAACAAAACAAGCCTTTCCAACTGCTTCAGTCTGTCGTATAAGACGGATCGTGATGTCATCTGTGATGATATGATAAATGCGTGAGACACAGTGCGCGATTTCAACATTGCATTTTATTTCCATGCAGTTAGAGCTCAGAATTGCTCGACACCGAGTCTTACCGTACTCATCGGATTTGAGATAGGCTTGGCCCATCGGACCCATTAGCGGTCGATTGTCCATCACCAGTTCTGTGTGATAGAACTTACAGTCAACATTTTTACATTCTTAGCAAAAAAAAACAAAATATTTATTGGTAATTCAGACAAATATTTATATTATTTACATTAGAAAATTTCTTATTTTAAATCGCGCCATTAAAAAATTATCAAGGCTATGATATATATAACTAGAAGGGGGATGAACCTGAAGTGAAAGCCTGAAGCGAGCGGACATAAAAAAAAATCGATTTTCTAAAGATTTTTTTCAGCACGCCATGTAACGCAAAAGATCGTTGTAATGCAAATTTTCTATCGTGATTTTTAGGGTATCCTGTTATAATCACGAATACTACCATATCTCTCCAATACGATATTAAGCACTGAGTACACTAGTGTAAAATATACAAAGATTTACACGTAACGTCTTATATGAGATTGTATACCGATTTATAATTATTAGTACTATAAAATGTGTGTATTGTTGATTGTCTGTTATGAACTAAGTAATTATATTATATTTTTTATTTACTATACTTTAATTATTAACATTTTACTGACACAAATTTCATAAAATATACCAGAGGACAAATGTGTGGGTGTATACGTTGACTTTGAAATTGTTTAAAATAATTCATAAATTAAAAGTATGAAAGATTTTAGGGCATTTCTTTGTTTGACTGTACATCAGAGAAGAGTGCTGTATTTTGAATTTTCATTGTAAGCCGTTATCACTTTTAATAAGTCAATGTAAATATTAAGTGTTATCATGTCTCTACAATACTAATATTAAAGCCATTATTTCTGTAGTGAACATTTTATTAATGATAGAAGAAAAAATATGATATCTAACGTCTTTGGTAATAATTTGATGAGTATTTTAAATATGAAAGCGAAACCAGTATATGTTGATATTAATTTTCCGTGCTATGCGTTAACGAATCTCGACTCTATGACCTCCCTGACATAAGTGCTATTATAACTTGATGAATATTTTAAATATGAAAACGAAACCAGTATATGTTGATATCATTTTTTCGTGCTATGCGTACAAATCTCGACTCTATGACCTCCCTGAAATAAGAGCTATTACACATTGACCGTGTACCTGGTGGAGCTCGATGTGACGTGGGCGTCGGCAACTGGGCGGCCACGCCGAATCCCCCGAGCTTCACCGGCGCGCAGTTGTCCCTCCCGGCCAGCAGAACGCAGTGAGGTCTGACGTCACGGTGCACGATGTCGTTCTCGTGACAATAGCGGAGCGCTTCGAGAATCTGACGCATGTAATGACTGAAATGATATTCATTACGTATTAATACTCGTATAGTCCTTACAAAATCACCTGCCAAACATACTAGGCAGCGGCTTGGCTCTGCCCTTTGCATTGCTGAAGTCCATGGGCGACGGTAACCACTCACCATCAGGTGGGCCGTATGCTCGTCTGCCTACAAAGGCAATAAAAAACCTAATACTACTGTTTTTTTTTTATTTGCTTAGATGGGCGGATGATTAAATAAATAAATAATTAAAAGTAATTAATCATGAGAGAGAGGGAGAGACAGAGCATTCTTTATTATATACCAAAAAAATAAACAATGGGAAATATTAAATACAAAAAAAAACAATTGGCGGTCTTATCGCTAAGAGTGATCTCTTCCAGACAACCATCAGGCGTACAAGAATCATTTGGAAACGAATTACATAATCATTAAGAATAAATAATAAATTGTCAGTATAAAATATGAAACTTATCACATAAGATATGAATAAATACTAATAAAGTCAGTATGTACAGCAAATGACTTTCTGGAATATTAACGGAAAAAATATATAGCGCTATTTTATTTATTTCTTATTATATTTTTTTATATTTTTTTTGTTTCTTAGATGGGCAGACGAGCTCACGACCCCTTTGGTCTTCGCCGCACGAAGACTCACAAGTTTCCCTACAGCCAATAAAGTCCCACTAGTGAATTGAATGAATAATAGAGAGAATTGTGAACGCTTATTCTGTTATGTTCAAAAACGAAATTAAAAATGACTACTTTTTTAAATATCAACGACCATCAACCATTGTTGTGTGTCTCTAGGCGAAGCAGTCATCCGATTCAGTCTGTAGCGTGCGACGGTCGTCATACACTAGTAATGAGGCTTCGATCTTATTTTTAAAAGTGAGGCGTTGACCTGGTATGTCTATAGACTTCAGTCACCACTTAAAACCACCGTCCAATCGCACAAAGAAAAGCAGCAATTATTAAATAAGCCTATTAATTGTCTGCATTTAAAACTACGATATACTAAAAATTTCACCTTTAAGTTTTACTTTTTATAAGTCAAAGTAATTTTCCTACATTTTTCCTAATTACATATTGGCTTCAAATTTGTTGATAAAGTGCATTCTAGGCAGTATCTTATTTATTGGTAACGATTATTTTTCTGATCAAAATGTTGGGCGACGAAAGTAAAGCTTGAAAGAGTACATGCGGCAGAGATGCGAATGTTGAGAGATGAGATGTGTGGAATGACAAGAACAAACAAGATAAGGAATGAGTATATCAGAGGAAGTGTGAAAAGTAGCCCAGATCATTAACAAATTAAAGAGCGGACGGTTAGCGTGGTATGGACATGTAATGCGTAGAGAGTAGATGCATGTGACTAGGAGATGTATGGAAATGGTAGTGTAACAAAGAGGGGGAAGAGGTCGACCAAAGAAGACATGGATGGAGTGTGTGAATGACGATATGAGAGAGAGAGGAGTGAGTGTTGAGATGACGGCTGATAGAAGAGAATGGAAGAGAAAAATTAGCTAGTGAGATAAGGTGGAGGAAAAATTTGCTAGTGAGATAAGGTGAATAAAAAGAGGACGAAGATTATTTTTCACCGAATTTTATTTGATTTAATTACCATGCCACCGCTTCGCTGTAGACGAACCCGGCAGAAGCTCGTCGAACCACTTCGAAGCAAAGGTCAGAGCCATCCATACTGAAAAAAAAAACAAATAATGATAAACTCCAATCGACTATAATACATAATTGAACTGAGCCGCTTTAACTGTTGGGCCGAGGGTTGTGAGTTGAATTCCCACATCGAGCAAACATTCGTGTCAGAAAAGTTTTTTTTGCTCTTTGTCTGGGTGTTTATTATCCATATATGTCCGTATTAACCGTATATAAGTACGTTTATAAGCCTTTGGTACTCATAACACGGAAACAAATTTAAGCCGGATAACCGTACGTGAAAAAAATTATTCTCTTTTACGCAATCTAAGTATAACTGTTTCCGATAAGATATATATTCTTCATATGAGGTTTCAAATGGAATGACTTCACAACAATGATGAACATGGTTGAGTTAAACTATAAATTTAGCTAAAATAGGTCTTATTCTTGATCGCGTTGTTCATTTTCTAATCTCACCGCGCCTTAATTTTTTTTTGTTTTGATTTTCAAAAGTTCATGCCTCTATTTGGATAAATTCTCGACAGTTCTAAGGGCCTAGGTTAGTGGTCAGCAAGCTTGTCCACCAAAAAAGCCAAATAAGAGAATACACCATTTATTTTTTATCCTACCTATTCTAGTATCCTCGAGGAGTTATGCTAGATTCGCAGAACAAGCAGGTAGGCTCTAAGCTTGAGAACATATTTTTATGATGGCACATGCAACACTTCTCATAGTCCAGAGCTGATCGCAGATATACACAATATTTTTTTATAGCCTTGTGTTTCAATGCTGTTTATTCTCTTTTACGAGGCAAGATAATAAGTAATCATTTTGTGCCGGTGTTAAGTATTTCGAGGAAGGCATGTACGTCGCGAGGGGTCAGAGATCCGTATGCCGACCACTAGGCCATATATTATATATTTACAGGTCACTGAGTTTCTCGCCGGATCTTCTCAGTGGGTCACGTTTCTGATCCGGTGGTAGATTCTGCGAAGCACTGCTCTTGCTAGGGTCAGTGTTAGCATCACTCCAATTTGAGCCCCGTGAGCTCACCTACTAGTTAAGGTTACGCTGAAATAGCCTCTCAAGGCTATCAGCTTAGGTAGGAAAAAAAAGAAAAAAGGGCATATACAGGCTGTCGCTATTTGTTCACGACAACGATCAGGTGATCGGTAGCGAGATCTTTTGTTCTCCTTTTCCCACTACAAATATTTTATCGAAATCGCCACATTACTCGTGGGCATTGCGGCCGAATTGGCCCAGATTCCTCTATGTATTGTAAATTTTATCTTAAATTGCTAATAGAATCAATGCAGTAGATTAAGTTTATAACGACAACGTAAACATTTTTTTTTCTTCTGTAAAATGAACCAAAATAATACATTAAGAGTTAAAGTATGGAATTGCCGTATTGTACTGAAAAATTGAAATTCGCTTCTTATCATTTAACATATTTATTTAATAAAAATATCTACCAGTATTATCTATACATTGCTGCCATCTAATAGGAAAGTCATTTATAGCTTTGCGATAGAACTCTGGTGAATTATATTCTACAAACTGTGTGAAAGCATTTTGTACTGCCTCCTGGGAAAAAAACTCATTTATAAAATTGTCCAAATCACGAAAAAAATGGTAGTGCGTTGGAGCAAAGTCTGGCGAATACGGAGGGTGACGAATGGTTTCTAATAGCAGTTCCTGTAGAGTTAAAACGGTTTCTCGTGCTGTATGAGGTCTCGCATTATCATGGAGCAATAATGGTGAAGATTGATTCATGAGTCGGGGCTGTTTCATTGCATGTTTTGCTATCATTGTTCGGAGTTCGGCACAGTAGATATCTGCCGTTATTGCTTGACCAGATCGGAGAAAGCTACAGTGAATAAAACCATGCTGAGATCACAAGCAGTTCTTTGCTTTAGGACACTGTTGCGGCGTTTGACCTGGGGTCAGCCATTGCGTTTTTCGCCTACGGTTATCGTAAAGAATCCACTTTTTATCACATGTCACAATTCTATCCAATATTCCTTCATTTCTGTATCGATTCAATAAGGCAACACAAGTATAAACACGCGTTCCTTTCTGCAGATCAGTCAAATCATGAGTCATCCATTTTTCATATTTTATTTTATTTTATTGATTTTACGCAAATGAGTCAATATTGTTGTTAAGGTAACGTTAAACCATGCCGCTAATTCCTGGGTAGTTTGGCATGGATCGGCTTCCACGACCTCTTTCAATTCACATAATGTATGGGCAGTCTGCCACATGGTTCGTTTTTTAAATCAAAATTTCCATCACGAAAGCGTTTAAACCAAAATCGCAAGATGCGTTCATTAGCAGTCCTCTCTCCAAACGCAACATTGATATTGCGAGCTGTTTCTGCAGCGTTAGTTCCGCGTCGGAACTCACTAGAATTTTCGAAGTATCCATCTTACTTGTCTAAGCTGAATAAAAAAAACAACAAAGTCGATAATCGAATGTTGCACATTTATAAAAGAAGAACCTCGTAGGTACCATTTGAAAAAAGATTCACTCAAAAATCTCAAACCATGAAGGTTCTATGTCAATTCGAAGTACCTATTACAATAAACCGGCAATTTCATACTGTAACCCCTATTATTACGGGGAAACCGTAATTGTAGTATTTACTTTATTTTGAACCGGGTAAACGACCCCTTAGGTTTTCTAATTTTGAAGGGCGACAAGAAAAACTTCGATAGAGTAAAGAGTGAGAGTTAGTAGCTACTAGGTAATTATGGAGATCGAATATTTCTACGAGTAGTAGCTTTGTTCGAAAGGAGACTGAAACGATTACATACATTTTTGGGCCCGAATGTAACGTGATGAAACTAATATGAATTAATAGATTCAGATTTATCAGTACCTTGCTGAAAATTATAAAAGTTTTCTCAATCTGAGAGCCGAGTTAATAAAGATTTAGTAAAAGTTAGGTTATGTTACAATCTCTTTAAAAGAGCTGAATAATAACTTATTTAAGCATAAGTAAATGTTTATTATATCCATTGGATAATCTTTTAAATGTCATATTATGAATGAATATTAATGATGTATGGAATATGGAATTGCTATCCCACAATTCCATAATTTCAACAGTATCCAATGCAACAATTTCAAGTCAAACGTGTGAGCGATCTTCGGTGTCCAGTGTAGAAGCAATTGTCGTACAAGGCTGGCAGAGTTGGAATCCGTAATAATAAAGCAGTGATCGTTGAAAATATAAAAACAGCCCGATAGACACACACTCAAAATGCGTCGAAGATACAAAACGAGTAGAGCAGAAAAAACCAACAAGCGCCAAAAAATAATTGTATAATCTATGAACAAACGTCAGTCAGCTTACTGTCAAAGCTGTCATCAAAAATACAATCGATTTTAATCGATTTGAAATCGATAATCATATTACTTTGTTAAGTAATAATTGACTTTTTCTTCATTTATGTATATAATCGCAATTAAATCCGGCGTATACCGCACTTGTATACAAGAAGTATAAATCGCTCATTTAATTACTTTGCATTAATTACCCAGTGCAATATTTTTCTTTTTATAATCCTGTAATCGATTAATTAAATCGATCACACCGTTATACCGACAAAAACTAACTTTCTCATTTTTCTCGGGTCCCAGAAAGAGGATTGAGGTGATTTTTTATATTCTTATATAAAAAAATATGACAAATTTTTTAGACTACATTCCAAGTTATTACATTTTTGGCCCACGATTTTCCGTCTCCTTTGATATTCATGTAACTTTTTAACCGACTTTAAAAAAGGATGACGTTCTCAAATCAATTGTAATTTTATGTGTGTTTGTAATTTCCGACCGTTTTTCTAGGTGAACGATTTGGAGGTATTTGTTTTTTTTTAAAGTTGATGCTTCTCATATAGCAGCGTTTGAATTTTAATATTTCACCAGTAATTTTTATATTATCCTTTAAAATGCAAATTCAATGAAGTGAAAGGAGTGCTCTTAGGATTTATTTGAGATGATTCCATCATCTCGTTTTTACTATCGCATTGCTGAAGTCCATGGGCGACGTTAACCACTCACCATCAGGTGGGCCGTATGCTAGTCTGCCTACAAGGGCAATAAAAAAAAGAAAAACTTCGACAAAATTAATGTTCTGTTGTGTAATATTTATTTAATTGAAGTCTGTTTTCTGAATTTTTTTTATACTATGAATTAATTTCATTAATATAATAAAAGACTGTAGAAAGGTAATGTTGAAACTCCGAAAAAAATCATGTATTTATTTATAAAACTCGAGACTTCATTACGCGGTTTACGCTCTTGAGTTTCAGATCAAATCCAGGAATTAGGTCAATCTGTCTGATTTAGTTTGCGGGTTTGCTACTTCCGTATACCGTAGACGCTTAACATTGTCTTAAGTTTTAAATGTTTGCGATACCAAAACTGTGCCCACGTATGCTATATTATCATCATATCGAGGGGTAAAAGACTATTTTGTTTAAGTGACATTTCGCTTAATACGTCAGATTTATCTTTGTAAATAAGACTCCGTTTACCCCCATTCAAAAACCTGAAGAAGTTTTTTTTGTAATGATATTTTTTATTTTATTTTAAACATTAAATGACTCTCCTGTAAAGTTGCGTAATGTCGCTTAAACCAAATCGCCTTTCACCCCTCGATATGTACCATTGATGAATATTAAATTAAAATTATTTAAGATGGATAGAAACTTTGAACCTTTTGTTCCATTTTTATTATTGATTTTCGTTCGCAATCACGACGAGAAAATTTCCATGGCGACTTACTTTCCGCAGCGAAATATTTTTTGTTTCGCACTCAATACCTAACTAATTCAATAGTTATCGCTCCAATCAAAATTTGCATCAAATTATCCGCAAAAATAACAAATATGTATAAATTAATTAATTATACATATTAAGTGTGTACCTACTGGAGAGATTCAAAATGCGTCATCGAAATTTGTACAAATGGATCTGAACAAGCTGCACAGTAAATTTATATAAAACCAGTTCTACATTCATGAAATCACCGGTGCATAATATTAATTAAAATTTAAACAAGTCGCAAACAGGAATCTCTTCAAACGATTTTCCGTGCGTACACTGTACGAAGGATCAATAGAGGTCGGGCATGAATGGGTAATTGGAAATATCTACTCATAACAATATCGTATATAGAAAAGTAAGTCTGTCTGTTAGGTTTTCACACTGAAGCCCCTGTAACGATTTTCACGAAATTAGGTATAGAAATAATTTGACCCTGGGAACGAATTTTGGCTACCTTTCATCTCAGTAGCCAAGTACGGGTCCTCGCTCGCGATAAAGAGATAATATGGTATATGATATATGGTATGGATAAGATGTTCAGAACCTACATATACATAGGTTTAAGAAAACTATTAAATAACATCTGTGCAATAAACTTTACTATAAAGTCAATGATTATCTAGAAGATTGCACAAAGTGGGAATGAGTTGTTCGCTCCGGGCATTTCAATATTATAATAATTGTTACGTTATAATACTCATTGTAAAAACAAATATAAAAAAAAAACTAATATTAAAAAAAATGACATGCCCGCTGAGTTTCTTGCCAATTCTTCTCAGGACGGAGGCTAGTTTTTGTGAATTGGCGGTAGTTCTTTTGACGATCAACAAGTATGTACTTTCATTTTGGTTTTGATTTTTTGATACACGGGCGAAGCTGTGGATACTGTTGTCATATTTTTCAACGAATTGCATTCGTTATTGAATTCATTGTATGATACGAAAATTACTGAATTATACAGGATATCCAATTACTAATGAACCAAGACGATAAAATTCTTGATATCATCATCATCAATAGATCATAAAACGAATCGTCTGCAATTAAGATGACGAATATAGTCTCCGGATTATTACCGTCGTGTATCAGTGTCACGATGCGAGTGTCATCGCTATCTCAGTACACGTTTGCGATGATACTAGCTAATTTAGTAGTCTGAAACTAGTCGATTACGACGAAGAGTTCGACGAGCGAACTAACAGACAGACATAGACATAGACAGACAGCCCACTGAGTTTCTCACCGGATCTTCTCAGTGGGTCGCGATTCCGATCCGGTGGTAGATTCATTTTTATTTTTTTATTGCTTAGATGAGTGGACGAGCTCACAGCCCACCTGATGTTAAGTGGTTACAGGAGCCCATAGACATCTACAACGTAAATGCGCCACCCACCTTGAGATATAAATTCTAAGGTCTCAGTATAGTTAAAACGGCTGCCCCACCCTTCAAACCGAAACGCATTACTGCTTCACGGCAGAAATAGGCAGGGCGGTGTTACCTGCCCGCGCGTACTCACAAGAGGTCCTACCACCAGTAATCACGCAAATTATAATTTGCGGGTTTCATTTTTATTACACGATGTTATTCCTTCACCGTGGAAGTCAATCGTGAACATTTGTTGAGTACATATTTCATTAGAAAAAGTGGTACCAGCCTGAGATTCGAACACCGGTGCATCGCTCAACACGAATGCACCGGACGTCTTATTCTTTAGACCACGAAGACTTTCAAAAACTTCTGCGAAGCACTACTCTTGCTAGGGCTGGTGTTAGTAAATTCTCTTAGGTCGTGACCAGGAGCTCACCTACCCGTCCGGGCGTAGCTGAAATAGCCTCTTAGGCTACAGCGAATAGGTTGGAGAAAAAAAAACTCATATCTGAAGTTGGGTGGCGGCATTTACGTTGTAGATGTCTGGGCTGTGAGCTCATCCACCCAATAAGCAATATATATATTTAACTGACACTAAACTTATAAGTACATTCCTCAATCATTGACAATTTTATTAAATAACTAGCTGACCCGGCAGACTTCGAAGTGCCTTAATCAATAAATAAAATACCTAAACTTTTGTATAAAATAAACTTAAAGCAAACAAAAGGAATCCGACCGACAGGGGACACATCAAAGGAAAAATTAAATTGTTATTTTAATTGCGTTCCGAACATTTTCATATTTATCTACCTTTTAAACCTTCTCTGGACTTCCACAAACAATTCAAGACCAAAATTAGCCAAATCGGTCCAGCTATTCTCGAGTTTTTGGGAGACTAACGAACAGCAATTCATTTTTATATATATAAAAGATAGATATATAAATTTTAATAAACTATTATATAACATACATGGTTTGTGAGTACTTACTATTCAAACACCATATATAGCATGCCTTCGGAGCTGTAGGTTTCCAGTAGTTCCACTATATGAGGGTGCTTCAACATATGACATATTGTTGCTTCTCTTTTCAAATCTAAAAACGTAAACAAAGTATGTTCTAATCTAATGTAATTAATTAATCAGTTAATAGATAAGCTTTATGTATTTTTACTGTTTTAAAATTTAAACGGGACCTCAGCTAGCTGTTTGTAATTTAAAGTTATTATTTTTATGTATTTTATTGATTGATAACCAAAAATTTATCTTAAATTAAATAATAAAATAATATTATGACTTATAACTAATCATGGTATTTATACTAAAATAAGTTTAGTACATATTTGTTATTCAACCACAAACAGCACAGAACACTGCATGATAAGAGGTCATAAGAGCAGTTTCACAAGAATTGAGACAGACTTAAAATGCCAAATTTACAATTAAGAATACTATCTGTTTTAAATTAAATGGTATACCTGCAGTGCTAAGTCCCGGACTAGCAGTGAAACGAGCCACATCCACAATTTTCACTGCAAACTGTTGTGCTGTTTGCCGGTGCACACAGCGACGAACCAAACTGAATGGACCCCTGATTTCAACAATTACACACAATTGAATGAGAATTACAATGAGATATCGATTTACAATGACACTGATCTTATTTCCCAGTGTGCTCAGGAACAACAATATTTCCTTTTAAGAATTTATCAACCAACATATTTAGTAGAAGTTTGCGATCCTTGAAAACAGCCCAATGTCTGTTATTTTTTAATAAATATAGATGAACTGTTTGGCGGACTTTGTATGTTGGTCAGTTTTAAAATGATATAGAGATTACTAGTGACATTTGTCTACTTTAGGAGAGATAGGTGCTGACCATCACTCCAAAGTAATGACGGTTTCCAGTGTGAGATTGCCACCATACTATACGTCTGAGATGATGAGTAAATACTTTAAGCTGGGTTAGGCCAATCATAGTGACATCTCATTACACCAAGTATCCACCTGTCCTTTATAGAGTATTTCTGATAACTTGTTCTCATATCTGTTAAAATGTGTATGTGCAGCTTCAATATGTAATATATTTTATGGTCTATGGAATGTGCAACATTTTCAGAAACAGAACAAGTGCTCTTCATATATTTGGTACATACAAGACCCTCACACTGTCAGAAATTCATGAAAATTGATTCAGGGCAAGATCCAAATTTCATACATATTTTTCTAAGTTTTAAGATTTAATCAGAACAAAAATATGGTAGCACCTTATAGGTATACAAATAATTCTGTCAATTGAAAAAATGTAGCAGATATGTATGGACTATACAGTCAGGTTACATACAGCTGATTTGAAAAAGTTTCATTTTATTAAAATTAATAAGAGCTACAGTAAAATAATGTATTACATATATTGTAAGATGATTTTTTGCTTATAAATCAAACCTTAGGAGAAAAATGGTCCAGGGTTCCTAAGGTATCCAGATTGTTCATAATTCAAAAATGAACATCAGAAATTGCTTCAGAATGTACATAAGTTAAATATTGTAGCAATTCAAAAATTATCAAAATTAATTCCATTTTTATTTTGATAATGTTCTAGACTTAACATTTTAACCGTATGCCAAGAAATACGTAAAAACGAACTTACTTTCCGATGATTTCGCACAATTCGTACACATCGTCGAATAACACTTCGTCTTCGGCCATTTTTACACAAGTTATGACCACTGCGTTTCAGGAAAAAATATAAATAAACATTTTAGCACAGCCTTCGATCCGTTTCAGGGCTGGTTACGCCCAGGGACAAACGTTGTATTTATAAGGACACAATACACTATAGGAACACAGAATGATATTTTGACGTATCTTCAAAAGATTTAGTCAAACTTAGTTCAGAATAATATATGTAGAATAAAACTTTATACATTTTATTTAGTAAAAGTAGAAGCACGTAAAGTTCCCAATAAGAATCATAAATACTTGAATCAAAATGTTCAATAGAAATAGAATAACTTATTAATAATAATAAAATATGTGCACATTTGTAAATTTAAGTACGAGGTGAAATTGTGAAGTTTAGGTAAATTAAGTCTGTATTTTTAAAAGAGCGATTTTGCACAAATTTTTATATTTGATTTTGACATTTCCAGGGTTGGTTGCTAAAGTATAGCATGAAGCTAGCCGAGATTGTCGTCGAAAAATTGACGCAAGTGGCAATGCTGCCAGCTAAATAAAAACTAATTTCAACACTACTGAATTTCGGGAATCACTAAATAGTTGTAAATTTGATTCAGTTTAAAAATAGAGTATTTTTGTTGAACCACCTGTTATACTATGTATCTGTGCCAAATTCAAGCCAAAAGCAAAACTTATCATGATAATTTTGTTTTTTCTTCTACTGTTGTTCCTAGTTTAGTCATTCTTACTATCTAAGTAGAACACAATGTTGTACAGAAGGATCAAACTGAGGGTGGCCCTGTCGGATTGATTGTAATAACTTAATTTAACTTTTAATATTACGCTTTAATTATTCAATGAGCTTATCTTCAATGATAATAACCTAGCAAAACTACGCAACGATCTCAAATCTTTGGTTTCCTTGGAAAATTAAAATAAAACTTTCATTGATAGATATATTAACTCACGATTGCTCTGGTGTGAGCACTTTGTGAATATCGTTAATATTTAAAAAGAAAGGATACCACCTGCCCCAGGGCTGGAGGTTGAAATCTGTTATTATATTAGTAAAGTGACGAACCTAGGTCAATTGCAGATTCAATCTTCGATGTTGTTTCTTGGGTTACATAGAACCTTCATTTGTTGTTTTTTCAAACAATAAATCCAACTACAGTATAATCGTACTATGACGCGAAAACCAGGGGTTATAACATTTAGAATGTGAGCACTAAACTTCATCTCGCCTTCATTTCTATTTTTGACGATTTTAAGAAGTTTCATATTTTCTAACAGTGACAACAAACCGTAAAAGCAATATTTACGGTGTTTATGATTCTCGAAAACCGAAGAATACACAAAAATGCTTCGGTTGCTGGGGTGCTGGGAATGAATGTCCAACATATAAATAGAACAAGTGAATAATATTTTCACTTCTTATCAATTACCTATCCATTGAGATGAAAAATAAGTAAAGAATCATTTCTGTTTTGCAATTTTATTATTCCATATTGTAATAAATAAAACAAATTAAATTCTAGAATTAAGTCTTTTTATAATAATGATTCCGTATACATTTATTTACTTGATTAGTTACGAAAACAGTCTTAATCTCATTTTGTTGCAATTTTACTCAATTTAAATAGATCTAAGTTTCAAAATAACTTGTCTATGATATCTATACATTTAATGTCAAAGTTATTAAGTAGAATTAGTACTATTAATACATATTATAAATGTTACTATTATAATAAAAAAACGAAATTTGAAATTACGAGTCACACGTTATGGCTGTAACATTAACTTTTCTTTTAAAATACTGACATCTAGGAATTGTTATTACGAGCTCTGATTCTGGTATTTTATTCTTCCAGGATCTGTTCACATTTACTTTATAGCTGCAGTGGTAATCCAATTCATAGAGTTCAAACGTAGATTGCTGAAATTTCAGAATACATTATATAGCTGTATGTTTTACTATTTTGACAAACCTATATTTTTTTGGGGAGTGAGGGATCAATGGTGCGAAGGCCTTTTCAGTTTTACCAGGCGAGCACAGGCTCTGCCAGGAGGTCAACCTATCCGATAAAGTAAAATTAGTATTTTGCTTTTGCTAATATTTGTTTGTAGATTTTTTGTGTTGTTTGTACCTTCAAATCTACGCACACTTGCACTGTACAAAATAGGTATTTCCAGGGACCTTACCCTTATTTCGAAGGAACCTTACTTTACATACTGTATAAAGTGTGTTTTACAAAATTAACACATTTTATTACACTTATAAACAAGAGATATGAAAAAAACGAAGCTATTAACAAAACAGACTGCACAGTTATTTTATATGAGTAGGAAGACATACTAATTCTTAAAGGTCCCGTTTATGTTTTTAATTTTACTGGTAGAGGTGAATTATTTTGGATTCAGTTTAGAAAATTAGGTCTTAAGTTTGGGAATTTTAACTCTACGGCAACATTGCTCGTCTTCCCACCACCTTTCCATTTGTTGCTATGTTCATTTTATTCGTAATGTGAGCACCGAGCACTTTTTGAATTATAATAGAATAAGATTTGAAAAATCAATAATTACCGCTGTGGTCGCCGCTAAGTCTTTCATGGGTTTATCTGTTTTATTGCATTTTATAGTTTTCCAATGGACGTAATATCTGAAAGAAGTAATTAAAACATTAATTGGCATAAATGACCTTCGATTGAGTTTAAAAATAAGCAGGCTGTGTAGGCATAGTCATAATCTGCGAACTAGGTCTGAATCGATCACTTAAAAAACTTAAATCGCGTAAAGTAAAGACGCGATTTCATTTAATATCGTTAGCTGAAAACGCGACTGAAAAATTTCCCAGTCGCGTTTTTTTAGATAAGTGTGCACGACTGTTTCAAATGCTTTCAATTTATTATTGAAATAATCATGTTTATGTACCGTATTACCGAAATAAAGGTAACTTTATGTTAAGTTGCTTTCAGAGTTTTTTTGCGAATATTAATAAAGTACCTAGTCATAGATTATATACCAATATGAATCGTTGCAACGTGTATGTACTTATCTACATAAACGCTTAGTAAATACAATAAGTGGGGGTTTTTGACACAGTAATTCCTAATCGCTTTATCAAAATATTATATTACTAATCCCAATCATAAAATATACGTAACTGGGAAAAATACTTAACACGATAAAAATGGATGTAAAAAGGCTTTATTACTTAATAAAAGGCATTTTGTGGGATCGAATTATGAAAGCGTAGGTATGTTTGTCGCTCTTAGCAAACAAAGATATTTCGATGCCTCCAATGAACACTACTCTAACTCCAAATTCGTAGGTTTACAAGAGGAGAGTTTAAACGAAAAAAGTTGATAAATATATCTGCAATAATAAAGATTTTATGGTTTTTTCTTGTGTAACTAGCTGATTTACTCTTGCTTCGAACCCCATTAATAATGAATTTGTCATACTTTTAAAATAGTGAAGCGATTTGCGTGAAAAACGAAAATTTCAAAATTTTGAGTTAGAGTAGTGTTCATTGGAGGCATCGATTTGAAGAATGATTTTAAGAAGTAATGTATAAGAATGGTTATAGTTAGAAAGTATGTAATTGAAGAGTTTATTTGTTAACAACAATCAACATAAAATCGATGATGCTTCTCACTTATCGTAATATGATTCATCACTCACTCACCATCAGGTGGGCCGTATGCTCCTCTGCCTACAAGGGCAAAAAAGACCCACCCACAGTCGTACAATACTCTTTTCAGAATTCGATCCCGTATCTAAAAATATCGGGCTTTCGTTGATATGCCATATAGTTACCTCTCTTGTGACCTTCCGCCACTGTTTCCACTAGGCACCGATTCCCATGAAATTCTCGCTTTCAGTCTTTGATTGTTCCAAACAATTTTATTCAACTTCAAACCCTTTATATATCTGTCACGTCTGACTAAAGATTCTGGTACAGAATCTGAGACAAAAAAAGAAAAAAGTTCAAAGTCGATTATGATGTTATCAGGTATACGAGTATTCTGGAGTATATAGGCAACCATATATATAATTATATACTCTCGAGCTTTCTAGAAACACATGGAATTCAAACCAATCACTAGCTTGGATTGGAAGATTTTATTTAAACACTCATTTTGATAATACGAGCAGAAGAGATATTTACTGTAGTAATTCACAACCTGTTTTGTTGCGGCACATTTCAACATGGAGTACTTGCTGACACTAGCCATAGAAAGAGCATTGCATCGCTACCGCCGGCTTGGAATCGCGACCCACTGATAAGATCTGGCGAGAAACTCAGTGGGCTGTGTCTATGGGCTAGATTAGATATGTACTCTTCGTCATATTCGACGAGTTCGACGAGAATATGGTACATAAATTACTGATCTATTGACTTATTCACAGTGGACAGCGAGAAAGGGTCATCGACTTAAAAATCGAGATAATAACATAAGATAGCTAACAACATTTCTTTCACACTCACCATTTCCTACAGAACCAGTCGTGTTGTAAAATACAGATGCCTTATCGCTTCTCAATTTACCCAAACCAAATTGACTGATCGTTTGAACTTGCAAAAAGTACATAGAATTCGGTTGTAAATCTTTTATTTCGATGTGGTTTTGATCCTGGAATCAATCTTCAGTTTTATTAAATTTAAAAGCCAACCTTACCGGACTACCTACATAAATACTATTATTAGCATCATATATATTATGTGCAATTATTTTGGCCAAATCATGATGAGACGTAAAACCTATTTTTACTGTATATCTTGTTACAATTTTATATTGCTGTCATGAGACATGTAATTAAATTATTTAACAGAAGATGCGGGTATCTGATCGCTTTGATCTGTTACCATTACTTCATTATCAATAATATTATTAGAGGTCTGCCATCGGGCGCGTATGTAGTAAAATCTACTAGATCCATTCTGATTGTTTTTAGAAATATTTAACGGACACTATTGATCAATACTAAATTGAAGAAAACTTTCTAATGCTGTGTTCACTTAACATTAACTGACTATAACATGACTATAATAGTAATATGATTAAAATACATGCCAAAAAAATTTATAGTCCGATTCGAATTTATTCTTATGATGAAGTCAGTTAAATAATGGAGTTTTTGTGTAAAATGAATTTTAAGTATAATTGCACTCTTTTTTAATAGTCGTTAAAAATATACTAACAGAATAGAAAACAGTAATAATAACCAATTTTGCGGTCACCAATCTACATTATAGATTGGTATTTACCTACCACCTATACGATCTCAAGATCGTGATAACGACCAATCCAATTTTAAAAAGATATTAGAATAATCATTTTTTCGACAATGTTCTTTTTTTTTGCTATGAGAATTACACGAATCATTTTATATTCCAAACCTTTGAAACTGTCTGATGATTGACAAGAACGGAATCTAGCTCTCCGCCCAATCCTCGTACTCGTCTACTCCAAAACACCTTGTAGCGCATCACTGGCAGATCAGAACGAGGCTCCTTCCATTCAAGTCTTACTGTCATCGTTCCTGAACAACAAATTGCTTAAATTTACTACAACAAAAAAAAAACAGATTAAAACAAAAATCAAAATCAGATTGTATTAAAAAAAAATCCTTTTTTTTATTGCTTCGATGAGTGGACGAGCTCAGAGCCCACCCGGTGTTAAGTGGTTACTGGAGCCCATAGACATCTATAACGTAAATGCGCCACCCACCTTGAGATATAAGTTCTAAGGTCTCAGTATAGTTACAACGGCTGGCCCACCCTTCAAGCCGAAACGCATTACTGCTTTACGGCAGAAATAGGCGGGGTAGTGGTACCTACCCGTGCGGTCTCAGAAGAGGCCCTACCCACCTACCACTATATTAATAACTATGACATTTCATTAAATTGTAAAAGGTATGATTTTGCTTAGCAACGAACAGTGCGCGTTTTCAAATCAAGAACCTTTACTAAACAAATCGATGAATTTTGCTTCCAATCCAAAAAACATAATATCCATTGAAGGCGAAATAGTTCCAAGAACGGACGTAGCTAATCTTCGTTCTATAATTAGGCCGGAATGCATTGATTATGGCCTCCACGATGCATCAAATTTGATTGGCAGTATTTCTGTTAATTCTTACAATTTTACTGGAAGTCTTCAAGGAAAATAATAGCATGTTATATGAAAAACGTATATCGTGTAATCATTTGTAATTAACTATTCCCGACAACTAGTTAGTATTTCGCTTTAGGGTTCAAAAGCTACAACGTGGTGCGAATGTTACGCGGAAACAGATAATAATATGTTCATACCTAAATAATGACTGTAGAAAAATTATAAAATACTAGCTGACCCGGCAGACTTCGTAGTGCCTCAATCGATAAATAAATGACCTAAACTTTTGTATAAAATAAACTTAAAACAAACAAAAGGAATCCGTCCGACGGGGGACACATCAAAGGAAAAACAAAATTATTATTATTATTTAATTCCAAGCATTTTCTTATCTACCTTTTAAACCTTTTCTGGACTTCCACAAATAATTCAAGAACAAAATTCGCCAAATCGGTCCAGCCGTTCTCGAGTTTTAGCGGGACTAATGAACGGCAATTCATTTTTATATATATAGACTTTAAGTACCTAAATAGCATAATTGTAACAAAACTGTTCTAGTTTTCTCGTAGTTTTTACGTAGAATATGTCACTATTTAATATTCCCTGTGTTATGGGCCCCAGAGATTGATAAAGGTATTTATTTTTATTTATATATTTATTACACTTCATGTAAAATTTACATTGGCGGACTTAATGCCTAAGGCATTCTCTACCAGCCAACTAAAGGTAGTGCAGAGTAAATAGTGGTAGGTGCAATGAAAATTATATTAAGTTACGAATACATACACAAAAGAGTATATAAATACACAATCTCATATACATATATATACATACATATAATAGTTTGTACAGTATTAAAAGGAATATATTAATAAATTTCCTTAACAAATAACTTCATCTTAATAAGTTCATGAAATACACATACATAGATAATATTAACCAGACAAAGAGAAAACAAACCTGTTCATAGCACGACTGTTTGTTGCGGGATTCGAACCCATGACCCTCAGCGTGACAGTCAGGGGTGCTAACCGTTGCACCACCGAATCAGTCAGTAAAGTAGGAATTATAAGAACAGTATATAGCTACCGTTATCCATTCTCATTGGTCGGACTCTCAATTTCTTCGGCATAGGAGGAGGACGGGGTCCACGACGTGGTGTAAATGGGGGACTGGGATCGGAGAACCCTCGTGTACCAGATGCACTAATAGCAGCAACACGGAACCGATACCAGCGACCTGGTTTCAACAGATTCCTCGGCGAAACCTTTGTCCTGTAAATATTAACCATAATGATAATTAATGAGATAATCCCAGAATATTAATGAGATATTATTTTTGATGGATGGACGAGCTTATAGCCCACCTGGTGCTTAGTGGTAACCGGAGTCCATAGACATCTACAACATAAATGCGCCACCCACCTTGAGATATAAGTTCTAAGGTTTCAGTATAGTTACAACAGCCACACCGCCCTTCAAACCGAAACGCTTCACGACAGAAACAGGCGGGGTGATGGTACCTACCCGCGATCTACCCTACCCGTACTTAGCATTGAATGACAATGTCTTAAAAGTCTTACGCAACCACTTTAAGACACAGTGAGAGCATCCTCTCCTCCCTAAAATATTTTTAGGGCTAGCGTTAGCACATTTTCTAAGATTGAGCCCGTCCGAGCGTATAGGTAAGGAAAAAAATCTCTAAAATCTATTGTCAACCTACACGGCTAGCTATCACTATCCTGCGTATTTCTGCCATTTCACATTGATACCTTTTGATCTACGGTAGGTATATGATGAACATAATATATTATTATTTCCACCTCCTGTCTCAATACGGCAGCGTTCACTTTGTGATCTAAGACCCTTTGTATCCGTTTAACATCAAACCGTGAGCCGACGTCTGCGTGTCTAATCCGACAAAAGAATTAACAAAGGTCGGCGTATAACTAATCTATGAAGTATTTTCTACAAGTTAACGTGTTTATGTCGAGAATTACACGGCTTTTTTATCATTTAATTGCTGTATCTGGCAGCGAGTCATTACTATGATACAATCCTCTTGGCTGAGCCTTTGGTCGTCCACCTGTCCTGGGGAAATCCATCAAACGAAAAAAAAAAATACTACAATCCAAATGAACATGAGGTAAATACCTGATTCTGGATATTGCTTCAATGTATCGATAACATTGAAGCAATATCCAGAATGCTAGTGCCCCCATATGTAGGTCCACAATAAGCTTTAGCACAAGTAATTGCGCTCATGTTATTATTTCATCGTAGAATGAGTTTTTATTATATGTAATTAATAGCTGCCCCAATATTCGAATTGCAGTATAATCTAAATAATTCTATGATGACATCACTGTAAGGTACAGGGAGAAGAGGTCGACCAAAGAAGAAATGGATGGAGTGAGTGTTGAGATGTCGGCTGATAGAAGAGAATGAAAGAGGAAAATTAGCTGTGCCGACCCCAGTGGGATAAGGTGGAGAAAAAGAAAGATGACATCACTGTAAGATCCCTTAGCTGCCTACCACACAATGCTTAATGCACAATGCTTAATGAACACACGCTATCCACTTAGAATGCAAATATTCATGGAAAGCAGTCGACGTCGCCCCAAAAACGTCATTTCGGATCCTCCCGATCCACTAACAGTGCTTTTAGGTACTTCAAGCATCGGTCATCGTTCTCGTCGAACCCGTCGCTTGCGACGAAGGGCTCGACGAGTAAATTAACCCTCACACAGCCCACTGAGTTTCTCGCCTTATCTTCTCAGTGGGTCGCGTTTCCGATCCGGTAGTAGATTCTGCGAAGCACGGCTCTTGCTAGGGTTCGTGTTAGCAACGTCGTCAGGTTTGCGCCCCGTGAGCTCACCTACTAGTTAAGGTTACGCTGAAATAGCTTCTCAAGGCTCTCAGTTTAAGTAGGAAAAAAAAAGCGAATATTCCATTAGGTCGGCTAGAAATAGTTTTACACGAGTATGCTTCATGTAGATTTTCATAGGACTAAGTAATAGTATTAGAAGTTTATGTAGTTTGCCTTCAATCGTTGACATAGTTTGTAACTGAATTTCCAAGTGGCGAATCTGACAAACCTCCAGCTAAACTTGAGTAATAAGTTCATGAACTTTAATTAATACCAGCTCTATTTGGATTTCAGGTATTGATTTTTAACATATTATCTCTCGATAGGAGGGTGAATAATTTTGTATCATCAATGGTGTATAATTAAAATGATACATTTGGAGTTTCGAATAGGATATAGTTAGGATTGACTTCTCTAATGTTAGATAATAGTTATAGTCGTACATCCCATAAGCAGTGACCAGGCTGAATGCAACAAAATAATAACATACTTATTTCTTACAAATACCTTTTCTATTTCTTAAATGTATTAGTAATGCGTTTCGGTTTGAAGGGTGGGGCAGCCGCTGTAATTATACTGAGATCTTAGAATTGATATCTCAAGGTGGGTAGCGCATTTACGTTGTAGATATCTATGGGCTCTACTAACCACTTAACAACCGGTGGGCTGTGAGCGCGTTCGTCTAAGCAATAAAAAATATAATAATAATACAGGTGCACTACTGAATTTTTAATTAACTGTAAGCGGATTTGGCAGAGTATCGGCAAAGTGCCAACAATGCTCGCGGTAACGTGACAAATGTAACAGTTGCTAACGCATCCGGATAACAATGGTACAGTTTTAATTTATTAAATAAACTAATTCGGTCTCTGCAAATAGTCAGTAATTTAGTGTCGTTCCTTTTTATTTTCCAAGCCAACTTCCAGTTCGCAACCCCCTGTTATCTCAGTAGAGATCTTTTGCACCATTCCTCTGAACGTTGAAGCTTCTTTTTCACAAACTGCTCGCAGAAATTACTTACATAAATAACTTATTTACTAATCGCATGTTGAAACATGAGATTCTCCTTACAAACTAGGACGCTTGATGGAAAAAAAGAGGATAGGCTACATAACCCAATGTGCTGTCACTAGTAAAACAGTACAAAGTGTTTTTTAAAATAGTCTTTATGTATTTCTTATGAAACATGTTCTTAAAATTCCTAATAATAAGCCACACAATTGATCCACTACTACCAAAAATATCAATTAGCTATTGAATAACAACACTAATAACTATTAATATCTCTAATTACGCAAGCAAGAAAACTTCGAGGAAAACCATATCTAAATATAAAGTTTGTTCATCACTTACAACACTGCATACGCAGGTTACTTTTCAACACATATGTAAGTGCTAAAGTGGAGCAATTTTTACTTACATACCTCGCTATGAAATACCCTAGATAAGAATGATAATTTCAAATTACCTGAGGTTTGTTATTGCAGTACCTATTGGTTTTTTTCTTATTTTGAACTACATTACTATATGTCTTGGGAGGGAAGTGCTCTAATGAATTGCTTGAGCTGGTCTTCTTTTTATTAGCGCCATCCGCCATTGGAGCAGAGTTCTTTTTTTTTATTGCTTAGTTGGGTGGACGAGCTCACAGTCCACCTGGTGTTAAGTGGTTACTGGAGCCCATAGACATCTACAACGTAAATAGGCCACCCACCTTGAGATATAAGTTCTAAAGTCTCAGTATAGTTACAACGGCTGCTCCACCCTTCAAACCTAAACGCATTACTGCTTCACGGCAGAAACAGGCAGGGTGGTGGTACCTACCCGCGCGGACTCACAAGAAGTCCTACCACCAGCTTTCTATATGAAATTCTCCTCTTCGCGGTCTTCCTGGATGCGATGACATATCTTTCTTCAAATTAGACATTAAAAACGTCGATGTAATGGGAATGTATACGAACCTGTTAGTACGTAACATGAGATTCCAATCGCCAAGCCTAGACTGCTCATATTTAGGGCCCAAATGATGTTGTTCCTCAAGCAGGTAAAGGACTCGTCCTGGAACAGCCCTTGCTGTGTCTCCTACGCCGTCTGACCAGCGCAAAACGACGGCTCGTCGCTTCTCCTTTGGTTCTTCCATTGTAGGAACGGCTGGAAGACCTGGAGTGGTTGTGGGAATAAATATATGACTAAAACCAGTTTGAAGGTTTTCTTTAATGTACTTAACAAGCTGTGCCGGTGCAGTTGAGCTGTGACCCGTTGAAACCACGCTGGGGAATCCATTTACGGATACCCGGTCCGGGGGGGAAACGAACCGGTTTATGTCGGACTCCGGCGCCTCCTGAGAGGTCTTCCTCTCACGGGGGACGAGGACGAGGAGGGCCAAGGTCCTCCACCTCCCCGAATTCCTTACAGGAGACTACGCCTTGAAAAAGGCGCGCGAGGCGCTCTCCCCGAAAAACCAACTACCGACTAAACCCCATAGAGCTCCACCACACCGACTACATCAGACCTAAGGTACCGCAGTGCGCGCCAAAAGTCCGACCCGTTGAGTAGAGGTACATTATGACCTTCATGTCGGTGCTCAAGACAAGGTCAGAGCTCAGGTTCGATAGAAAGAAGTGTTCCTAATTACCATGGACGTCAGGAAGTAGGGGCTTTAGTTCGAAGAAGCCGCAGTTACACATCCGTACTTCAATACTATGTTCTCTTAATGGAACTGACCTGGTAAAGTCAACAAGTCTAAAGGTTCACTGCAAGTAGATCCGCATCCGTGGTGACAGCACCTCTGTGTGCCGTCGCATTGGGAGTCGGAGTTGCAGGCCTGCACGCATGCGGCTTCCCATTTCGGCGTGTCGGAAACGGGGCACGTTCCCGGCTTGTGCTCTTGGTTCCGACATTGGGAACGGCACTGTGGAGGAAAAACGAATACGACGCTTGAAAGGCAAACGTGACTAAGCGACAATGCGTAAACTTTACAGTAGACTAATTTTTTTACTGGTGGTAGGACCTCTTGTGAGTCCGTACGGGTAGGTACCACCGCCCCGCCTATTTCTGTCGTGAAGCAGTAATGCGTTTCGGTTTGAAGGGTGGGGCAGCCGTTGTAACTATACCTGAGACTTATCTTATGTCTTAGAACTTATGGTCTCAAGGTGTGTGGCACATTTACTTTGTAGATGTCTATGGGCTCCAGTAACCACTTAACATCAGGTGGGCTGTGAGTTCGTCCACACATTTAAGCCATAAAAAAAAACTAGCTGCAGGATTGAAATGATTTTAATAGACCTAGAAATATAAATTTTTTTGCGCATCGAGTATGGTTATTGCCTATCATTTATGTGCAAAGCAGTTATTGTCGCTTAGTCACGTTTGTCTTTCAAGCGTCGAATATATTAAACAAACTCCTCGATTATGACAATTTAAATGAAACCGGTGTTCTAAATTCGACTAAAATCATTAATCAGTTTCATTATGTATATTATATTTTTACTAATTAATATCTGACTAAGTTTCATTTATGTATAATCCCCGGTGACCACGTAATGCCAATCGGGCCATAAGCCCGTTCAATAATATACGTAAAAAAAAATATGATAAGTACGCGTTCGTCCAACCTAAATTTTATATCTAGTTGTGTGGGGCAACTACACCTATATAAAAAGGTTATTTGTCGCGTGAAGTTAACACTGTTACACTGTAAGAGAGACAGTGAATTTACTTCTAAAGAAAATAAATACCACGAAATCAGTGAAGTCGAAACATTATAGATATAAACTCAGTACTAATTTCAGACTTTTTGTACTATTTATAAATAAACATGAATATAACCAAATTTTAATTTTCGTGAACAGCGCACAATTCGTATGAAGAGATTCATTCATTATGTAAAATTCCGTTCAAGTGAATTTTTGTGCTTAATTAGTAAAACACGATTAGCATCTTATCATTAAGTACTCCTTCAGGTTTTCTTTGAACTTACGTGATTCATTGCTTCGAGCATAACGTTTTTGTATTTCTAAATTCTATAGAACAATGGATGTTCATGTTTCAATTTTTTTTATTGTTGAAAGTTTCTGTTTTCTTTTCTCATGGGAATGATTAGTTGTATTAAAGTTAAAGTTCCTAAAATAAATATGACTATTAGGGAAACTTTTTAAGTCATAATATTCGACATAGTATTATGCTTTAGATTTTACGTTCGACACTCGCGAACATTTTAAGAAGAGTTTAATCTCCTATATTTTGAATACTGGAAATATATACTACATCCGAGACAAGTGTAAACATTTCATTCCAATATATAAACATTAAAGATAAACTCATCATTTAATCAATGCTTTTAAATAAAAGGACAAAGTCCCCCATTCATTAAGAATACATTTATCTCAGGGTCAAGATCGCTGAAGACTTACATACATGTAACTCAAAGTCGACAAGGACAAGGTAAGGAATGTGCTTATCAAACGAAGTGTGAAAGTAGCCCCGGTGATTGACAAATTAAGGAGCTGACGGTTAGCGTGGTATGGACATGTGATGCGTAGAGAGGTGATGCATGTGACTAGGAGATGTATGGAAATGGATGGAGTGTGGGAATGACGATATGAAAAAGAGAGGAGTGAGTGTTGAGGTGACGGCTGATAGAAGAGAATGGAATAGAATAATTCGCTGTGCCTACCCCTCCTAGTGGGATAAGATGGAGACAAAGAGAGAACTCAAAGTCGACACCGCTGTTAGATTATAACAAGACGCGGTCATCTCTCAATATTAGGCAAATAGTAAGGAGAAAGAAAATAAGATGTTTTGGTTTTCAGAACTTCTCTGCATAGCAATCATGCTTTGCAGCTTAAAGTTTATTAACTTTCACAATAAATAATAACTTTGTCTCGGAATAGTTTCTGATGTTTCAGATGTATTTGCCTTGTCGTTTTTATGAGGTTCGATAGCCGTTTCACTCCAAGAGGGAATTTTTGTCAGAGGTGATTCATAAAGACATATATTGAAACAGCAGAAACTCAATTTTATTTTTGAACTTAACAAATATTCTCAAAGCTGACTGTATTTAAATTGATAATAGAACTTAATTATAAAAAGTGAGCACACATGGCACGTCAAGCCCGAGGATTGAAGCGACCAAAGGGTTTCTAGTACAACCCTTTATTCTGCGGGTCCATTGTATAATTTAATTATGACGAATAAAGGTTACATACAGGGTTTTAATAGGATCAACCAAAAAGTGTATTGTAAAATTGTTTCTATCTAATAGCGAACCTTCTCATTGTTTTGAATACTACTACTAACCTTTAAGCCCGAAAACACTCGAAAGCTAAAGAAATTAGTACATTAATAAACAATATTTTTTTATGGCATAAAATTATAGGCCTCCGTAACTCTTATCTGTTGGTATGTGGTTGGTCATATAATTATAACTTTGTAGTTAATCGTTTTAGTTGAAGAGCATACTTGGAACCTACACAACATGAAACAAGACAGTGAAACAAAACAGACCAATGCTACTGACCTTAGGTCATCTGATAAGCAAACAAGTCTATTCGTTTTTATGACTAAAAAATATCTTCTTTATTTTCTAAGTCACTAAAGTTTTAGTCATGAAATTCATTTTAAGCAATTTATTAGATACGTAACTATTTTTAATATAAAATATCAGTTGAGGAGAATCTTGAAGAGCGCTTACTTTATTTTAACTTAAATCTGTGGAAGGAATGTTTGAGGAATGAATGAAATTACAAACAGGCAGAATGGTGGTCACTACCCGTGTGGGCTTAAAGTACTCCAGCATCATATAAGCAAATTCTTCACGCTGGTATAATAATAAAGAAAACACTACTGCTTATTCCTCAGTAAATTCCGCCTCATTAAATTCGCTTGTTAAGACATCCACGAGAGAAGATGGGTTGTGCTATATATTGTAGGGGACCACACCACTTACCCAAAATGAGCAATTTAAAGATTACATTCAAATGTCTATTGAAAAATAATCCACATTTTTCATATCGTTAAAATGCGTTTTGATAACAATTATGGGAAAGGATCGTAAAAGTCTTGACACAGAATTAAGTATTTTTGGAAACTGGGGATAAGGCAAAAATGCACTAGATATTTCAATATGAACTTAATGTTTTGTTGTTCTCAAATTTAAAACTACCCGTTAAAAATGAACGTTTTGAAACATTCGCGCACGTCCTTATTCTGTGGTCTCAAATTAAGAGCAAGTAAAAAATCCAAACAAGACTCCTGTCGACTACAACTTCGGTTCAAGGATTCAGCTCGTTAACTCGACAGTCGCAGCAGATACGATCGGTAACGATTGTCTTTTGTCAACGTAACTTTCAAGCTTCATAAAACGCTTTTGCGGTCCTCAAAATATCTTCCGGGGCCGTTCCGAAGGAATTCCCAGTTTAAGAACGACATTTTAAATTTTGTAACCGTCTTGATTTCGTTTCGTTGCATTCATTAGCCGTACTATTTTTTTAATGGTTTCGTTCGAAGCGATTGTTGAATCGTGATCATTGTTATTACGACTTGTTTTTTTTTAAGCCATCTTTATCCTGATTTTTTGTATAGGCCTTGTTGTTATTAACATCAACAGTTTGAAGTTTATTATGTATCTTTTTTTTGGCTTGTCCTTATAGATCAAGGGTCAACAATTAATTTCGCATGGGTCCATTTTAAGGAATGAACCATTGCAAATGTAATTACGGAAATCACAATGGCGTTTTTTTTTAACATATCAATGAGAAAAATGTAATTTTTCATGTCCAACTATCTGGCTGAAGGTTGCAGTAAAATTTGGTGCACGAAGGAATGACATAGTGAAATAAAATCGAATTAACTTATAGTAATATTTATCGATTTGCATTATTAGTTGTGGTGTTGCTATGAGCTCGCACGGATCTATACCACCAACCTTTCTATTTTTGTCGCAAAGTCATATGGGCTTTAGAGCATTTTGTTACGCAAACTAAGTCAATAGAAAAGCTGATTGTGGAAAATGTAGTTTTTTTTAATCCATATTAAGGTAGGCTTTGGATTCGACTTTGGTTTCGGAAACACTCCAAATTTGTTAATTACGTCTTTATTCGTCCGGTAATTTTGTACATAAAATTATCGTAGCCACTATTTGTACAATTAAAACGCATTAAGCCATTTAAGTGTCAAATTAATTAACAACTTAAATACCTACAACAAGTCAAAAGCCATTCCCTTCTGAGACAATCACATAAATAACATTTTCTTCCTCACTTCAATAATTGAGCATGAGAACATTCTGTTCACGATTGAGTTCAATGTTCTCTGTCGTAAGAGGAACGTGAGAAAACTTTCCATGTCCGACAATTAATGAGAACTTGATGTAATTGAACGGCTAATATTGAAAGAAAATAAATTAATCTAATACTTACTACAAGCAGCCGATCATTCGTCGATTCAACTAGTCAAGTCTTTATTGATTCTATTACATTTAAATAAAAACAATATTAGCTTAAAAGTTATTTAAATAAATCATAAATATATGATTTATTCATGATATTCATAAATAGTTTTAGTCTATACTCAAAAAATCAAAAGAAAGACACATGAATCTACATAAAAGCAATATTTCACAGAGGTAGATTGAACCCTACATCTCACATATCAAGAAAATATCTATTCTTTATCCATTGACTATTTTCCAGACTGATCGTCTTTTATCTTTAAAATAAATAAAAAATACATCATATATGAGTAATGTATCGTGATCTGATAATATTAAATCAATATGTGTGCGTGCAGCCTCGCCCTAAATAATTTATGAAGGCAGTTATATTTATTGCATTCGGAAATACTGGTTTTTAATTGACGGTTCTTTAACTGTTTGCCCTAAAACACATTTAAGGTTTTCACAAAGAGCAAATATCAATAAATCGTTTGAGTAATGTTTGATTAATAATTCAAAGGTGAGGCAAGAAACGGTAATTCTCAAAAAAAATCATATTATAATTAATTTTGAATAATTTTTATTTCTAGATTATTTTCATTTATCATACTACTACTTCAAATAAATTTCCCATGTAAAGGTTCGAATATCCATTGATTGATAAAACTAATTTATACGTATCGTATCGCCTTGGTTAAATATCATAATATTTTAGTTATGGTAGTTTTCTCAGCAACTGATTGTTGCAATCTTTTGTTTTTGGCCGATAGATATCTAACTACTGTGGTCGAATCATTCGAAAATAGTGCCGATAAAAAAAAATTAAAATACTATTTTCATAGAATAAAACCACACAAATAATCTTCAGAACAATACAATTTAACTTGTATTCAGTTTCGATTTTGAAAAATACTTTTAAATGGCGTCGAGTCTTTGATAACGAGTAGACAATATGAATATTTGTTGAACTCACCGTTCCTTTAGTTTCCTTATCCCTGTCAAAGCACATCAGATCGCATCTTGTCTTTGATAAAGCATTAGGTTGCATTCTCGAGTATCTCCGCGCCCTCGCTTGGATCGCAGGAACGAGAGACGCCACCACCATCACCGTCAACAGTCTCATCAGCATTTTTGAGCTCATTTTCATCAAACACAAACAAGTTTTGTTTCTAGCACATTTCGCGTTCACTACGAAAACGATTTAGATCACTTTTAAATCACAACTACAATCTGAACGTCCATTTGTATTTCAAACTAGCGACCCACCCTCGCTTCGCTTCGGAAACATTAAATTTTATTATTGATAGTTGGGTCCCGCGATGTTACCCGCGGTTATTGTTATACCTCGGGTGACAACGTGGGGTGAAGCTAGTCTAAAAAGTAGCCTAAGTTACTTCTTATATCATCAGCTACCTATCACTAAAAGTCTCGTCAAAATCGGTTCAGCCGTTCCAGAGATTAACCGGAACAAACAGACAGACAGACAGAGAGACAGACAGATAGACAAAACTGTAAAAAATGTTATTTTGGTGTATGTATGTACCGTATATACGAGTATATTCATACGCATGTAGTAAAAAGCGGTTATTTTAATGTTACAAACAGACACTCCAATTTTATTTATATGTCTATATATCACGTTTTGTAGGTAAACTATTATTCCGCTGACAATGAGCAGCTATCTCCTGCCTAATTTATTAGAGGAACAGATTGTTAAGTTCATGCGTTCATATGTTTTTGCCGTTGTAGGCAGATGAGCGTATGACCCACCTGATGTTAATTGGTCACAGTCGATCATGAACAACACTAATACCAGGGGCAAATCTAAGTCGCTGAGTACTAATCATCATTAAATACCTCATTATTCAAAGCGCATTATATACATTAACATCCTCTACGAATAAATTTGGGTGTATTTTATTGATTGCTCAGTCCAGCCCACTGAGTTTCTCGCCGGATCTTCTCAGTGGGTCGCGCTTCCGATCCGGTAGTAGATTCTGCGAAGCACTGATCTCGCTAGGGTCAGTGTTCGCAACACTCCGGTTTGAGCCCCGTGAGCTCCCCTACACACGTAAGGGGGAAGCTGAAATAGCCTCTCAAGGCTATCAGCATAGGTAGGAAAAAAAAGAGCACCGAGCCCAGTACTCTACTTTTTCTTCTTCTTTGTCTCCACCTTATCCCAATAGGTGGGGTGGGGTTGGCACAGCGAATTATTCTATTCCATTCTTTTCTGTCAGCCATCATCTCAACACTCACTCCTCTCTCTCTTATATTGTCATTCACAGACTCCATCCATGTCTTCTTCGGTCGACTTCTTCTCCGCCTACCTTGCACTACCATTTCCATACATCTCCTAGTCACATGCATTTCCCTTCTACGCATCACATGTCCATACCACGCTAACCATCCGCTCTTTAAGTTTGTCAATCACCGGGGCTATTTTTGCACTTTCTCTGATAATTCCTTTAGACCGGTAAGTTACTCTAGTTAAATAGCTTAAATTCCACAAGCGATAAGAGCACACGACATTTGTACATATTTTTACTGTAATTAGATAGAAGAGCTCACAGACCTATTAGTGACTAGCGACCCACCCTCGCTTCGCTTCGGAAACATTAAAACACACACGAAACCAAAAAAAATAATTAAAAAAGTAGCCTATGTTCATCAGGGACAATGTCGGCTTCTAATGGCAAAAGAATTTTTCAAATCGGTCCAGTAGTTTCGGAGCCTATTCGAAACAAACAAACAAACCTTTCCTCTTTATAATATTAGTATAGATATGTTTACAAAAACCAACAGATACAACGTTAATGACGTCACTCAAACTTGGATCTGAGGTAGTATTCTCTATTGTATTGCAATATAAGGCGGTGATCGCATACCAGTACTTTTGATAAACGGCCTATTAATTTATGATCTCTGCGCGTCTAACAGGCGTCTTAAGTCTGTGGAATGCCCGCTATGTATGTTTTTATTCCCTTTTGTATCGTTACTCATGGAAGTCAGTAATGACAGTCGCGCGATCCAGTCGGTATCTACCTCTGAGCATACTTCGCAAATCATATTTGAAGAACATTTTCTGGGTCTGCGGAGGGACTTTGGTTGTGTTTCCCGACGGTTATGACATGTCCTTCTTCAAACGAGGCTTGTGGAGGGTATTAAATGGTAGGCAGCGGCTTGGCTCTGCCCCTGGCGTTGCTGACGTCCAAGAGCGACGGTGAGCACTTACCATCAGGTTCATGAAGTGACCCACTTCAAGTGGGTTGTACTTCATGGTGGGTGAAACATTCACCTTGTGATCTATGGCGCCTATGCCTTCTTGTGATCATGTACCATCAAATAAGCCGTGAGCAGGACCCATAAAAAACCTAGGCGCTTCAATTTTGAAGAGCACTGTAAAGATTGGTTTTTTGTTGATAAAGCAAACTTTTTTTTATTTTTTTTATTTTATTGAAGTTAATTTCATCTCCAATTCCCGTCTTGCATGCGATCTAATTCTGTTGCTAAATTAAATCTAAAACTGATTTCGGTTATTCACTGGATCTATTCAAAAGTTCATATTTCTTTTTTACTTTTCTTGCCCTAGATGCTTATAATATATATAATCGTCAATTTCATCGATGTTTAGGATTGTATATGTGTTGTGTTAAGTCCTCTAAAACATCGATAGCCTCGAAAAAAAAATTTTAATACTTAGAAATACAACATCACAATGAGTATCACGTATTAACAATTGATTTTATAAATAAATTTTGAATGTGTCATTAGATGTTAAACATACAAATATACTATAATGCTGATTGTTTCTAACAATAATAGGGTATTATTGTTTTTTTTAAACTGCTTTAGAATTAATTCGTATCGCAAAAAATACAAATACCGAGTATCAAAATTTACGGACGTTGATATTAATCGATATTTTGAATCAATATTAACATCGATCATCCCTACCACGAATAAGTACACAGACGAATAAAGATACCACCCGGTTAATGTTTCCATAAAAACATAGTCATCAAGTTTGGTAGCTTGTTGCGGCTGCTGTTGTCAATGTCATTGACAGTTTTAAAAAGATTAGACAAATCTTTTCCTCATCAAACAATAAGATTGTTTTGTGAAAGCAAAATCTGGAATTTCTTTTTTTTAAACTTACACATATGAACTGTGTTGTATTATCAAAAAACAATATCAAAAAAATTTTACTGGTGGTAGGGCCTCTTGTGAGACCGCGCGGGTAGGTACCACCACTCTGCCTACTTCTGCCGTGAAGCAGTAATGCGTTTCGGTTTGAAGGGTGGGGCAGCCGTTGTAACTGTACTGAGATCTTAGAACTTATATCTCGAGGTGGGTGGCGCATTTACGTTGTAGATGTCCATGGGCTCCAGTAACTACTTAACACCAGGTGGGATGTGAAATCGTCCACCCATCTAAGCAATAAAAAAAATATATATATAATTCAAACATTTTTATTACGAATTCAAAGAAAGTCCCTCAAGTAAATGATTATAAATTTCTTATGTTAACAAGGCGTTGCTCTTTTATCGCATACATTGCAATTAGCGATTAAATAACAATACCAACTAAAAGGTTATCAACCATATATTATAGTATTAAGATAAGAAAAAAATACTAGTAGTACGAGTAATAAATGCACATCGACTCTTGTGCGAATTTTAATCTTATATTTGGGTATTTTTTAAATAGCGCCGTTGTCAATCTTAAAATGCCTAATTTTGGGTAATTTATCGTCCCATTTATGTCCAGCCCTTGGCGACTCAGACTTATGCAGTTCCAGGTATATTTTTTTGTTTTGAGTGATTATGTCTATATTTGTCACCAGTATTCACAATTTAGGATTTATTTTTCATAAACGTATTGACAGAGAATATATTTAGGCAATTTAATCTTACGTTGCTTTAATCAACAACAAAAAAAAGACGATTTTGGGGTTATTTTTTTATCGTCAGTAAATGTTATTTAAGACAAAAACCGATGAATGAAATTATGTTAACTTGATTTTCAGTATAATTAATATTTATTTGATAGAAAATTTCTTGTTTTTGCTTACTAACCTTAATTTTAATTTATTTTATTTGAATCGGTTGAGCATGAAAAGATAATTCTTAATTTTCAAGATATGTATGAGTTCGCACGCTCTATAACAATCGAACAACTTAATTTTTGCGATCTGCACTGTATTATACAATTCTGAAGAGACATACTAATAAAGAAATAAATAAATAAATAATAATACTTCTCTCCTAAAATGACTACAAGAGAATATTAAAAAAAATGAAAAGTTTTCTGGCACAAAATCATTTTTTGGTTAGGTTTAAATTGATACCTTTGAATGCATTAAAAGTAATACTAAGAAATTCTAAATTATTTTGTAATCTTCGAACGCATCAAAATATCGATAACAAAAAAGTTTATTTGTAATAAATACCATATAATTATACCGATAAAACAATAAATGGTCCATAAATTTAACTACTTCCTGCATCAAAACACTAATCCGGCTTCACCTTAAAATCTCGTGTGATGATCGATTATATTTTAATCAATTAAAACCGTAACATAATCGATATCGATGTCATTGACCCCGTTGGAGTTACGACGGGCGATAGTCGTCTATATCGTCTGAAATGCGCGGCGGCACTGACGTCTTGTGACTGCGCTTGCGATGCTCGACGCAACGACGCTTCGTGTTCCAACTTCATTAATTCGCATCGATGATGCTTTCCTGTCTGAATGCGAATGACGGAAGGCTGCTTTTGCCGGCCGGTTTCCTAATAAAAAAGTAATTGTCAAGCGCTATCAGCAGCTTCAAGAGAGTGTTCTGTACATATTTAAACTTTGATAGAATTGATTTCGAAACACGCTAAGGTAAATTAGTCGGACAGAATCGAGTCGTGTTGATAATAATGATAATGATAATAATGATGATTTATACTATATTAGACAAATAAATTATAAAAAATATAATATGGCCTTCTTGGTCTTTCCGTGGATTTGTTTTCAACTTTCACGGCAATATTTATTGTTAGTATTTAACGGGTTATTACTAAAATTTTCAAATTAAGTGAATTCCGGATATTTTGAAGCACTTGGAAGAACCGTGATCACTGTTAGAAGATCATACTGAAGAACTAGATTTTTGTCGTTTGGGGCTTAGAAAACCATAAAATATTCCAAAAGTTTGAAATAGTTAACAGAGATAAAATCATAAAAATGCTTTTTTTTAATTCATTGACGGATAAATGAGGTCATGGTTCATTTGGTGTTAAGTCGTTACCTGATCCCACATATTATTATGTCGTACCGTGAATACTATCATTAACCTTGAGACATAATCCTCCCTCCTTGCGTCGTATTCCTCATTGCTGAGGGTCGTGACCACCCTTTTGTATCACCTTGATCCTACCTATGTCTAAGTCTCAATTATATGTAACGACTGTCTCTTCGATCCACATCACAGATCGTCTCACAAATACACCCTGTCACCAGTATGCTTAGTGCGAGTTTCATAACGTTCTCGATAGCGTAAAAGTTAACTCAAGTTTGTATGCAGTTGGAACAGCGCCCCTAGCGGCAAACGTAGGCAAACGTTCCAACTCCATACGGATTTGCTTTTTAACTCCATTTTTTAACTTTTACGCCATGGAGAACGTTAAAAAACACGTACTAAGCACACAGTACTGTATATAGGTACTAATTATATTTATGCGAGTGTGATTTTTATTACACGACGTTATTCTTTCACCGCGTAAGTCATTCGTGCAAGCGTGCTGATTTCGTATGTCTTTTACAAAAATTGGTATATGCCTGCGAAATTTGAACCTTGGCACTGTCGCTTCGCCCGATAAATATAGACCGGGTGTCTTATATTTTAGGCTACGATGATTTCATAAGCAAATAAATAAAAAAACAGATATTTAGTTTATTTTTTTTTAAGTTAAAAAATACGAACGATCTCACGGCTCGGATAATACTTAAATAAATTTATTTGCTCATAGTTAACGCGCAGAAACAACACATTGAAGCTTGAGAAAATATAAACATTTTATTCTATAATTTTACAGTATACGCATCCCTAAATCTCGCTCTTCCTGGTGACGACGCAATGCGTTTTTCGATAGCATTCATTAAAATAAAATATAGTGATAGTATTCGTTGCGTAATTGGAAACAATAGCACGTGTTATGTTTACGTTGTACGACTAATAATTAAAAGCATAGTTTAATTAAATTAAAGCATTTTTACTGGTGGTAGGACCTTTTGTGAGTCCGCGCGGGTAGGTACCACCACCCTGCCTATTTCTGCCGTGAAGCAGTAACGCATTTCAGTTTGAAGTATGTGGCAGCCGTTGTAACTATACTTGAGACCTTAGTACTTATATCTCAAGGTGGGTGGCGCATTTACATCGTAGATGTCTATGGGCTCCAGTAACCCCTTAACACCAGGTGGGCTGTGAGCTCGTCCACTCATCTAAGCAAAAAAAATTACTAAAGAAATTAAGAGACCTAGATGATTTTCATTTTAAGAAAAAACTAAAAGATAATCTTATTATTGAAAACTATTATCACATAAATGATTTTCTTAGGGACGACATTGAAAATAAATTGATTTTTTAATAATTAGTTGAATTATGGATGAATGAATGGTAAATTATTTAATATCATAATATCTTGCACTGCCCTAAAATTCGCATGTCAAATAACGACAAAGCATACACGCTGCTTTTAATTTATGTAATAACTCATTTTCACTATGCTTAGCGAGTGAATAATTTATTTCTCACTCTTTCTTTCTTTCTTTGAAAACGTTACGAAATTTTACTTCTCGGAAATAGGATCTCTTTTTGCTGTGGGTACCGAAAACACATGTGACAATAGGAAAAGGCGCACCTAATAAAAGATGATGATTTCGATCGGGAATCAAACCTGAATTCATTTCGCTTTTGGTACAGCGTATTGTAACACACCTTGAACAAATTTTCAAGTTAAGCAGTTGTCTTGAATTTCGTGAAAATTGCCTTGAAATATTTCGTTATTCGTTACATACGTACATAGTAGACATGTGTAAGTAATGCGAGTGATATTACTCGGGTAATATTACTCTACGATGTAATGCAACATCACACATTACGCGAAGGAAACAAACATCACACTATCACCCAACATGTTTCTTTCTTTGTCGTGTAATGTTGCTTAATACACGAACGGAACCGAGCGAGCGAGACAGACCGATCGACCAAAATAAATGAGCAAGCGACACGGAATTATTCCTAGTGATTTTGAACCGTATGCCCTGGCCGCTAGGTACATTTTTATACCTATGGTACGTCTGAATTTTAATATAGGTATTTGTGTTTATATTTTTCATGCGGCCAGCCAGTAGTTCCCCGCAAGTAGTTACTTAATTTTTAATTCGCAACTTTTGTAAAATCGCTAGTCGCTCGTAATTGTTTAGTAATATTTCATATTAATTTTTGTGTTTGAATTACTTAAGCACTTGTTTGAAAATAGTTTTATTATTTGTTTTAATGCGTGTTTAATAAGTGAAAGAAAGAATGGCGTCTATATGGAAGTACAGTCCTCTTTGGATGCACTTTGAGGAGACCGCGCCGAAACAATGCGTCTACTGCTCTCGTATATTAACATTATCGTCTGAAATCCGTTCATCCCACAATAAATTATATTACCTAAGTAAAAAATAAAATTATTATATTATTAAGTAAGTCAATCTCTGTCAAGTAATATAACAGTGTATTACAATGCAAAGTTCATACTTTGTATTGTAATACACTACTGTAATGACACACCCGAATCATTACCTAAGTGATGTGTTGATACACATCACTTAAGTAATGATTCGGGTGTATAGATACAATGTATTCGTCGTCACAGTATCTATTGAACGCACCGAGTAATGTTATGAGTGATGTGTAATGTTTTCGAGTAATATCACCTGTCTGTAAAAGTGATGTCATATCACATTACACTGGGAAGTGATGTTTTGCGCAAGTCTAGTACATAGATACAGGTTAAGTTCATAACATAAAGCCGTGCTAAAATTAAAATTACATAAAATATAGAGATATTAAAAATTATAAAAGCGAAAAACGATTAAATAATCGCAAGGATCAACCACTCCGCAGTGCAATGGAGCAGCCGCACCCCGGGGAACCGCCTGCATGATCACGGTATCCCAAGGCCAGGTAGGTAGAACCTCTATCAACTGTGTAACATCTCGTCACCGCGATTCAGGAATTGTTGAATTTACGTGCAGCGACATCTGTTGATAACAAACTAAATATAAATAAAATAAACATGGCGCGTAACGGAAGAAATTAAGAGGGCGCGTAATCGAAAAACGTTACATACGTTTTTTCCTCCCTACGTCGATAAAGAGGTTTCCCTTCAAAAACAAAACATAAATAGCATTCTAAAGTTATTACCGTCAATCATTGTTTCTATAAAGTATAATCGATAAAAGAAATATGCAATGTAATTCAGCGTTTTCTGACGATTTTGATAAGGATCAGTCACGCGTAAATAGCATTTAAACACGCAACACTTCAATCGTTACTTGCAACATCGTTACGATCACCGATGTTCAATACACTATCAGTAGTATCATACATTAAGGCCGGCTACAATTATTATTTAACTAGCGACCCGCCCTCGCTTCGCTTCTGAAACTGTAATTTATTATTGATTTCTCCACTATTTAATGGATGTTATTATACATATAAACCTTCCTCTTCAATCACTCTATCCATTAAAAAAACTGCATCAAAATCCGTTGCGTAGTTTTAAAGATTTAAGCATACATAGGGACAGACAGATATAGGGACATTTTTTTTTTTTTTTTTTTTT